CATATTCATTTTTTCAAAATTAAATTCTCCCGTTGGTTCAAATTTAATAATGAAAATAACAACTTTAAATACGCAGCGAAAAAATAATCTCAATTTAGTGAATTTTACCCACAACATAATTCTCTTTTCTATTTACTTTAAGACATTTATCCATTTTCTAGGAAATAAACATTTACTGGAAAAAGAAAAAGAAAAACTAACTCATTTCTTTACTGTTCCTTCGGTCCAACCAAGAAATTGGCCTGGCCCAGCTCCCTTGCACGCGCGTTGCCCGCACCTAGGCCGCAACCTGGGCCTAGGCCGGCAAAGCCGCTCGGCCGCGCGCGCCCGCCTGTGCTGGCCTTTGGTCCGGTCGATCTTGGCCGCTCATCTTCATCGGACGGCCACGCGCGTGCGTCGGTCGAACAAAACAGCGTCGCGTCGCCCTAACCCGAAACCCTAGTGCCATTCTTTCTTTCTCCTTCCCTCTCTCACTCACTCAGCCCCGCAGCGCACCGAGCGATAGTGAGCACAGAGAGCTGAGGCATGGCGGCGTCGTCGCCGGCCCCCTCACCGACGTGCACCCTCCCCAACGGTTGAGCACGTCGCCGTCGAGCGGCCTGGCGGCGGTGCCCTACCGCTCCCGTGGAGGCCGTGCCTGAGCGGCAGCGTCGCTTTCTTTTCGTGCACCGGCGAAGCGGTGCTTCCCGCACGACGGCGGTGACGGCAGCGGCAAGGTAAGCCTCTTTCCCTTCCCCTTCTTCCCCTTCTGGATCATGTTTCTCTTCTTGGGTTTCACCGATTGGGATTAGGGTTAGGGTTTGATTAGGTTTCGGGTTAGGGTTTCACTGTTTATCTTTCCCGTGCTGTTCTTCATGGGTTTGGGCTTGGATTCGAGTTCTTTTCTAAAACCTAAGCCCTCTGTCTTACTCGTTTCTTCACCCGATTAGGGTTAGGGTTCGGTGACCCTCTTCTGTTCTTAGATCCGAACAGATCTAATCTGTTTCTTGTCGTTCACCCGTTCTAGATCTAAAAACCCTAGAAAATGAGGCTTTGGTACCATTGTTGGACTATTCTAATCACATGGTCATAGATCTAGCCGGGTACATCTTGTAAATGAATAGCATGTCCTAGTACATGAACTAGACAGAGATTAGAGGGAGGAGTAGTGCTAGGTTACCGACCATCGTAGGCCTTCGATCTAGAGGCGTCTGCCATGGGCGTTGCGTCAGTGTCTGCGCGAGGGCAGCGACGGTTGGTGAAGACAATGTCAGTGATGCGCGGTGGCGACCGGCGGTGAAGACCGGTGGCAGCACAGCTGGTGGCTTCCCGTCACTGGCTGCGCCCCTCTCTGATCGGGTTAGGGTTTGTCGGTGGAGAGCTCGGCTCAGGCGAACCTCGTACACAGAGCCACTGGCCCCCACCTCTATTTATTGCGTAGTGTGACAGGGGCCCTCCAGCCATAGTGGGCTGGGCGCCCCCGATCAGGGCGCGGGCCCAGTTTGGGTTTAGAGATCAATCTAACACAGCAAGGTAAGGTTCACCGGCCGGTGCATGTCAGCGCCATTGCTGCACCAAGCAATGCAATGCAGTGGGTTGTTGCTAGCACTGCGCATGCGCTTCCCGGAGAGGGTGAGGCTCTCGTCCTCGAAGGTGAGCGCCTCGCCATGCGGCTGCAGTTTGAGGTACTGGGGCATGCGCTTAGTGCCGCGGTAGGCGTCGACGCGGATCAGTTGGAACTCCACCTCCTTGAAGAGGCACATGAGCACGCGGGCGACCTCCACCGAGGTGGGTGACCCGAAAACCTTCACGCTTGCCATCTCACTCGCCCACTTGGTCAATAGAACACTTCAGTCACTCAGAGCACACAGCTGAACTGAAGGGTGAAATGCAATGCAAGTGTGACTGTGTGTTCGCTTAAACGGCCGTTTAGCCCGTTTAAACTCCGTGTAAACGCTACGCTACACGGTGGTGCTCCGTTTCCGTTTAATCGTCCATTTACCCTGTTTAATTGTCCGTTTAGTTCGTTTAATGGATTGTTTAGCCCGAATAATAGCTAAACGGTAGGTGATCGACTGTTTACCATTTAGCGTTTAGGAAAACATTATCAAAACAATGGGGTACAAATCCATTTGCACCGAAGGACCTGATAGAAAAAAACATATTTACAAAAAATAGTTGATGACAATAACAAAACAGGCAAAAGATACATAAGTTTTTCATGTGAAATCCTCACACATCAATATTAAAGAAAAAACCCAACCTAAAGGAACTAGACAATTTTTTATTAAGGAGAAAATAAACACCCAAATTTGAGTTAAAGAGAACTTGAACCGAGGTGGTTTGAATACATGAACCACACCTCTCATCCTATGGAATTGAATTAGGCTCACTTACTACAAGATCACGCAAATTTGTCTATCCACAATAATATGAGGGTAAGACCATGTACCCTATATACGTTTTCTAAACTGCCGGCACATATATGGGTATCTTAAGGCTATTGGAAGCTAGGATACATTAGTCTACACTTGATTCACCCTCTCAAGTGCGCATAAATATCACATCAAAGGATATGACAGATCTTATTGTTTATTTTTTTAGGGTTAGCCGTTAAAGTTTGAGTGATAGGGTTATTGTGCCCTTGTAACCTTGGTGAGCCAGAGCACTTGAGTTATTTGTGACCTTCATATGGATGTCAACCCTTTGAGCATGGTGTGGATGAGCGGCGTGACAACTTGGTATGTGGGGGATGATGAGACCTCTTCCTTGATCTAAAATCTCTGTCATGGACAACAACTTAGTGACCAGGAGAGTCATGTGCAAGTGGTGAGCCTTACTAGCTTACGGAACTTGTCCTAATTGGCTATGGGATTTGTGACTTTCCCAATACCATGACCGGGGTAAGGCTTGGTGACCTGGAACATATCATTTGTGGAGCTCCAACATGGACTAAGGGTTGCCTTTTTGTTAATCGATACCATGGGATAAATCTCCATTTCCAGCAATTTACTCTCTCTAACTTGCTATTTATCTTATGCATTTAAGTGTTCACGTTATGTTTGACTTGTGAGACCTTTACTTTCATAAATTAGCATAGGCAAGTTGCACTATGCCAGAAAAGCACATTAGTGACGCGTCTGGACAGTCATTAGTGACGCAGAAAAAACAAGTCACTTACATTGCGTCTGTGATGTGGACATACCAGTGACACGTAAAAACGCGTCACTAATGACCTAGCGAACTGACGCGTTCAGTCAAAACACGTCACTGATAACCCTCGGCAGTGATGCGTTCAGCCAAGACACGTCACTAATGCTTATTCACTGTGACTCGTTGAGCCACAAAACGTCACTGGTGTGGATCTCATCAGTGACTCGTTTTATCAAAACGCGTCACTAATGACAATTTACAAAAACAAAAAAAAAAAGAAAATCTCTAAAGCAGACCTATAGGTGCTGTTCGGTACCATGTTTTACACAGGTACAGCAGCAGCTTTGGCTGCATATCTATCTCACATTACACCTGTTTCATCCAATTCAGAATCAAATCATTTACAAACAGATACAACTTATGCTACAAAGTAGCTGCACATGAGCAGTGGCCTAGATCTCTAACAGTACATGAGCAGTGGCCTGAATATTTCTAGCAGTACATGAGGGAACTACTGTGGTTTTTCTTGAAGCACAATACTTATTGCATTATAGAGAGGCATTCACCTTATTGATGCCACTTTGGAACATAATACTTGATAATCGCATCACAGTACCTTCCTGATCTGTTTTTGTGAATCTTTCATTGTTCTATGCTGCTGGAAACAACATTAATTGTCCTGCAGGCACACAATTTCAGTTGTTAATATCAAAAAATAAAATTGTGCAAAAGACGAAAGTAGCCATGAGTAGCCTCTAGCCTCAGCAGTAATTCACAATCTCATCAGCCTTTTAAATAGAAAATAGATCAAAAGGTAGCTGTTTAGCTACTGAGACAAAGAAAGGCCTATGCATTTACAGATCTCTATGAGCCAATTCCGTAAATCGCTGAAGTTAAATTTATCTTGAGTCACTTAATATATGAATTTTTAACATATCCGAATGGGATTAGAAAAATTAGTCCATAAGTGCATAACCATCCTGTAGAAAAATTGTACTCCTATCTAGTTGTATCTTTGTGCAGAGTATGGTGGTAAAGGGTTTAAAGTTACCCCAAAAGCAGATAAGGTTGTGCAGTAAACTACTACTGAGACAGTAGAGAGATAGTTCAGTACAAACAATACCAGAGAGAAGGTATGCGACAGTCTGAATGAAGGCACTCATTATGAACCAACAGAAAAATTCTAGCCTGCTCCATATAGGGTATAATACTATCAATCCTAGTAGCCTGCTCCGTATAGGGTCTGATATATGAACCAAATCATTGCTTGTTCAAAACTGAAAATTGTAAGATGAACATGACATACAAATACATACTGTGAGTAGTAAGATTGTCCACCTTAGCCAAAAATTAATAGTACTGCAAACCTGAAAATTAATCAAATACATAGTTTGGGTCTGAGATAGAACATAAGTTCAGAAAATAGCCTGATATGACATTACAAAAAAGACAAACTAAGGCAAGCAAGAAGTAAAAGTTTACTCACTACATAAGTAGAAAATACTGTGAACAGATAAAGGTACTGGCAGCAACTACTTGAATTTAGTATGCCCCCTCTACTTAGTTTGTAATTTTCTATGTGCTGATAATGTAGGACAATAACTGCACATAATAGGTTAACAATAATTGGTCCAAGAGATCTCAATTCCAGAGAAGAGGCGTTTCTGGAATAAAACATATTGGCGGATAAATAGCTAAGGGGCTCTACAGTTAGTAATCAGGTACTACATATGTTACCATATTTATGTGTTCCTCTCTGTCAAATTTGGCACCCAAAAAACCAATCTGGCTCAGGCCAATAATTATGATAATCTGAATAAGTACAATAGAGTGAACACAATAAGGATTGCAATTACAGACAGGCTTACATCTAAGAACAAAAGTCCTGTCACTGCTGCTTGCTATCTTCTCAGGTGCTTCCTTTTCTGCACGAAGAACCTGAACAGCACAGAAAACACTTGACTTAGCTACCAAAAAAATTGGGGGGGGGGGGCAACACAGAAAACGATTGACTTAACAGTTTCAACTACTTGTGGCATTTTTACAGCGCGAGGAGAAGAGGAGCAGGCCTCAGGCATTCATGATTAATACCATAGTTTCTTTCAGATTGCAGAATGTTAGCCATTCACCCTATCATCTCTTAAAAAATTAGTACCTTGCCTATTTTGCAATTTTCTAGAACACAAAAGCACAAAATCAGTTGTGGTTCAGTTATGATTTCACCACCAGATGGACATTTTTTTTTCTAAAACACTAGGCCAATCTGTATGAAGCAAAGGTATATTGCAATTCTCAAAATGAATTATCCTAGACAAATCAGCAAAGGTATATTAAAACTCAAATCAGAGCCCAGAAGATATTGTTATAGTTGTCATCATGTGAATAATCAGGTCTCAGAGATTAATGTCATCATAGGACCCCACAAAAGCATTAAGCATTTGAACAAATAGTCAGATTAACAATAATAGGACCAAGAGATCTCAACTCCAGAGAACAGAAGTTTTCTGGAATACAACGTATTGGCAGATATATAGCTAAGGGGCTCTACAGTTAATAATCAGGTACTACATATGTTACCATATTTATGTGTTCCTCTATACCAAATTTGCCACCAAAAAAATAATCTGGCTCAGGCCAATAATTAGAACCTGATGATAATCTGAATCAGAATGTCCCTAGCACTACTAGTAGCAGGCAAGTAACACAGAGTTCCTTCTTTTGTACAGAAGTTTGCGTGGAAGGTGTATTCTTAATTTTTCTGTGTTGTAGTCTCCAGATTACAGCTCCTATCTTAAACTTCATTGCTTTTGCAAGATAATCTTAAGAGTTAAGAGTGGTCTGAATTTAATATCAGTTCACTAATATTTAATTTTTTATGATCAGAAAATATTTTCTAGAACTGTTATCATACTATAGGTACTTTAATGGCTGATATGCATGCGTTGCAAGAGGGGTCTTCATGTTGTAGTGATTTAGCTAACTAATAGAGTGACCACAGGCTAACTATTCATTTTCAGCTAACTGATAGAGTGACCATTCATGTGCTTAAATTATTTGAGTCAAATATATTATAATAAGCTGCCATTCAAACTTAAATCGTACTCAGAACAGCTAATGTCTGTTAGTCGCTGAATTCTCACTCTTGGTAGTAGGAGAATTCTTACTCTCATCGAGAGAGGATGACACTAGGAGTTGGGGCAATTTTCTTGTCTATTTCTCACATAAACTCACACAAATGCCATGCCAACCTGAGGGGTTGGGGTTACATATTTATAGGCTGCTAGCCAGCCAAGCATATGCCAAGATGCTAGTCTAAGATGCTAATATGCTGTCCTAACTAAGATGCTGTCCTCTAGTCTAAGATGCTGTCCTCTAAGATGCTGTCCTGCTGTCCTCTAGTCTAAGGTGCTGTCCTAAAAGCAGAAAAACAGCCACAAGGACCATGTGAGCAGTACAGCCCCACAAAGACCACACATGAGACTTATCCATCATTCTCCCCCTAAGTCTTGTGCGTCGTCTTGTGGGAGAGTTGAACCATCCCGGTCCTGGAGCAGAGCTCAAGGAACTTGATCCTCCCAAGAGGCTTGGTGAGCAGGTCCGCAAGCTGGTCCTTGGTGTTGATGTAGCTCGCCTTGATGCTCCCTTCCTCCAAACAGCCTCGGATGAAGTGGTACCTCACCCGGATGTGCTTGCTTGCATTCGTGGAACACGGGGTTCTTTTGCGGGGCATGAGGCGGACTTGTTGTCCACCCAGAGCTCCACCGCTCTAGTGTCTCTGCCGAGGAGATCACCAAGCGATCGAGCGAGCAGGCGCTGAGTCGAAGCGGTGGAGGCCGCTATGTACTCGGCCTCGCGGTGGGCAGCTAGCCACCACCTGCTTGACCGATCGCCGACTAACGAGGCACTTGCCGAGGAAGAAGAGGATCCCTTCGTACTCTTCTTTGGTGTCGATGTCGCCGGCGTGGTCATTGTCATTTGTACCGAGCGAAGTGTGCCGCCCTGGGCACCTCGGGTAGTAGAGGCCGTGGTCGAGAGTCCCGCAACATAGCGGATGATCCTCTTCACGACTGCTAGTGCTCCGTCGTCGGTCATTTGCATGAACCGACTAACGTAGCCGACGGAGAATGCCAAGTCCGGCCGTGTGTGGGCGAGGTAGCGAAGGCTCCCCACAAGACGCGCGATGCTAGCGTGGCGTCCACCTCCTCCATCGTCTTTGTCGTGGCTCGACTTCACCTCTCCTCCATCGGAGTGAGAGCTGGGTTGCGATCGGTGAGCCCAGCTAGCTCAACAGCGCGCTTGGCGTGGCGGTCCGTCAAGTGTGATCCGGAGTCATTCGGTGCACCTCGATGCCTAGGTAGAAGAGGAGAGGCCCTGGTCACTCATCCGGAAGGTGGCCTTCATCTCTTCCTTGAATGCCGCCACCTCCGCATCCTTGGTGCGGTGATCACCAAGTCGTCGACGAGACACCCACCAGCAGAGCGGTTCCTCGCTTTGCCCGTCGGTAGATGGCCGCCTCGTGTGGGTTTTGCTCGAAGCCCATCCCTTTAGCGTGGAATCCAACTTGGCATTCCACCCTCGTCTGCTCGCCGCAAGCCATAGAGGGCCTTGCGCGGCGTGAGCACCTGCCCTCCTTGCCGGGATCGCAAATCCGGCCGGGGTGGGTGCACGTAGACCTCCTCCTTCAAGTCGCCGTTAATGAACGCCGACTTGGCGTCCATGTGATGAACACGCCGACCCTCTGGGCAGCTAAGCGCAGGAGGAGTCGTGACGGACTCCATCCGTGCCACGCGGGGAGCAAAGGCGTCGTCGAAGTCGACCCCTCTCTGCTGCCACGAAACCTCGTGCCACCAAGCGAGCCTTGTGCTTGCGATGGCACCGGCTTCATCCCTCTTGACTTGTACACCCACTTAAGGGTGATCGCGCGGTGACCACGAGGAAGGTCGCCAAGCTCCAGTGCGGTTCTTCTCGACAAAGCATCCATCTTCAATCGCATCGCGGCGCGCCATGCAGCGTGTCTCTAAACCTGCGCACGACCGAGGCTCGCCGTCGTCACACGCAAGGTGCAAGCTGCGCCTCCAGTCGTGAGGCACCGGTCCCGCACCGGGTGGTCGCCGAGAAGGTTCTCCATCGTCGACGGTACCGCAGCGGCTGCGCCGTCCGTGATGCGTCGACACGCTCCTCGTCGTGAGAGAGCGCGAAGCGAAGCTCAACGGGTCGTGCTCGACACGAGTGGTGGTGGAGTAGACGCGTGCGGAGTGGTGCCTGTCGGTCTTTGGAGTCTTGTGGCGTTGCCGGTATGTAGTGGAGCCGCGAAGAACTCATCGCATGACCAAGGTCTGGTGGAGAGTGTGGTCTTTGTCGAATAGTGGTAGCGCGGGGTTGGAGGCTCGGGGGATTGGGGGACGCGCGCTGCTTAGAAGAAGAGCCGCCTACTCCCCAGCTCCCTCGAAGTGGGACGTACTCGGCGGTGAAGTCGTCGTCGACGTCGGAGCCGAGCCGTCGTCCACCGCCTTGTCCCACGCCCATCCTCGCCTTTTCGTCGAACACAACGTCATGGCGCGCGGCGTGCGCACACGCTGTGTCTTGGTCGAGGATACGGTAGGGCTTCGAGCCCTCAGCGAGCCGATGAACACTCCCGGAGTGCTCTCGCCGTCAAGCTTTGCCGATATGGCCAAGCTCCTTGGCGAACGCGAGGCGTAGAAGACCCGCAAGTGGGAGACCGCCGGCTTGCGCCCATGCCAAGCCTCGTCACGGTGTCTGCCGTCGAGCGCCTTGGTAGGCGAAGCGGTTGAGGATGTAGCGGCCGTCACCACCGCCTCTCCCGGAAGAAGGCGCCCGGCATCCCCCTCGCTTGAGGAGGGCCGAGCCATCCCACTGGCAAATGCGCTTGCGCCGCTCGACGACGCCGTTCGCTGCTGGCATGACGGGTAGCGGAGTAGTGGTATTGAATGCCCTCGTCGGCCAGAAGACGACGCGAATTCAACCGCCGTGAATTCGCCGCGCCGTTGTCGGTCTGGCGAAGACGCTGCGACTTCTTGGTACACTCCGCCGCAAGCGACTGCCTTGGCGCTACGATAAGCGTCCGCAACCTCTCCCTTGATGCCGAGGACCATCACCCACATGTAGGGGGAGAGGTCGTCGACGAACAGCGATGAAGTAGCGTCGTCCTCCGGTGTGGCCGGTGTCACCGGGCCACACAAGTCCCGATGCACAAGCTCGAGCCTCTCCTTGGCTCGAAAGCTCGCCCATTGGGGAAAGGGGAGTCGCCCGCTTGCCGTCAACACGCAGACGTCGCAGAGCTGCTCCACATGGTCAAAAGGCACGGCGGGCCTCGCACCATCTCCCTTGCAGCGAGCCGCTTGAGGGCCTCGAAGTGAAAGGTGCCCGGCGCTCGTGCCCGCGCCACGCCTCGTCATCCCGACGAGCGGCGCGAGATGAAGGGTTGTGCCACACACTGCGTTAAGGATGTATGTAGAGTCGATTTGCGCTTCGGATACCTTGGCAAGAAGGCGGCGACGGCGATCCCAAATCCTCATGACTCCATCCTCAACCACCACGCGAACCATTCTCATCCGGTTTGTCCCAAGGCGATGATGGAGTTCCTCAACGTGGGGATGTAGTAGACTCGGTGAAGCGACTGTGCTCACCGTGACACGGCGGTGAAGATGACGGAGCCAACGCCCTTGATCTCTCCACCGGAGGCATCCCCAAACTTGACGGAGCCTCGGACGCTAGAGTCAAGCTCGGTGAAGAACTCCGTTGACCGGTCATGTGATGGGTGGCGCGGTGTCGAGGCACCCACCCGTCGATCTTGTCGCGGTTGCGAGCCGTCGCCGAGGAGGCGTGTGCTTTTGGCTCGTCAAGGTGGAGGAGAACCGCTGCGCGGCAGTGCTGCCGGAGGTAGCCGGATCTTGGCATGTGCCATGAAACGAGCAGTTCCTCCTCACTTTGTCTGGCGTGTAAACTGGCAGCGTCGTGGTGTCGACGATCCTTGGCCCAATGGCCAAAGTAGCGCGCGAGCTGCGGCGAGTGTAAATCTCGTCGGCTTGTACTGCCGGTGGCGCCGCCCTAAGGCGCCTCGCATGGGCATCACCCTCGGCACGTCCTCGCGCCTGACTGGCGTCTCTGCAGCGCTTTGCGGCGGCTTGCCACGCTTATGCCGCTGTCGCGGAAGAAGGCTCCCCCTTCCTCCGGTCACCACGGGCGGCAAGCCATCGCTCCCAGTGAGAAGGAGCTTCCGCCCGATGGTGATGGGCCTCGAGAGGATCTGTGGCTCTCATCATTGTCGGCGACCTTGAGGCAACCTATCACCTCCTCGATCGACATCGTGGAGAGATCCAGCGAGACTCGATCGAGCGAGCTATCTGCGCCTGTACTTCGGGGGACTTGGCGGAAGAGCTTTTCGACGACTCTCTCTCCTCGCCGTAAGTGTCGTCGCCGAATCGCACCATCTTCTCGCAATGAGTGTTGAGGCGGAGAGCAAAGTCATCAACGTCCTCACACGCTTGAAGGCGGTTCTCCCACTCCTTGCGAAGTGTCTGCAGTGTGGACTTTGCGGCGCGCTCGCTCGCCGCCGCGCGTGCGTGCGGCGATGGCGTCCCAAGCCTCCTTGGCGATCCGCTTCTTTGGTAAGCGAGAAGCGCATCTCGGCGGGGCTGCAGCTGATGAGAGCATCCGGCACCCGTCGATCTAGATCGTAGTCGACGTCGCCGCATCGGATTTGCCCCACATGCCGCACTGAGCTTTACCCTCATCACCGCAGCCCACTCGGCGTAGTTGGTCTTGGTGAGGGTAGGCCACCCACCGCCGGGACCGGCGCCACGACAACGACTGGAGCCCGTGGTAACCACGGTACCGATCCGGGAGAGAGAGCCACGCGCACTGTGAAGGCCACGCTCTCCATCGACCCGTCGGTACCGATCCGGAGAGAGAGCCACGCCGCTGTGAAGGCCGCGCTCTCCATCGACCGTCGCCGCCACCGCTGCCGTGCGCGCGCCTCCTCCAGAGCGCGCCGCGCGCGTCGCGCGCCTCCTCCAGAGCGCCACCGGTGCGTCCGCGCTGTCTGAGGCTGCGCGCCGCGCTTTCGTTGGCGCAAGCGCGGCTGCCCAGAGCGCCACCGCCGTCGCGCGCCTCCTCGAGGCGCCGCCAAGACGTCCGCGCTGTCAGGCTGCCGCCGCGCTCGTGGCGTCGCGGCGCGCCATGCGCCGCGCCAGCGCTTCGCCTTTGCCTCCCTCTCTAGCAGCTCGAGGTCGCGCGGCGGTGGTGTCGTCGGCGAAATGGAGCTGCCGATCTTGCTGCGCAGAAACCTCGACCTCCGCCGCCGCCGCCGCCTTTGCATTCGCCGCCGCGCCATTGCCCGCCTCGCGCTCTGCTCTGCTTTTGCCGCTCTCCGCCATTGCCGACCTCGGCGCCTTGCCGCCGCCGCGCGTGTCTCTGCCGCCGCCTTCGCTCGCGTTCTCTCTGCCGCGGCAAGTTCGACCCTCTGCGACGCCCGTGCTCGAGGGCGACCGAAGGCCGAGGCGCCTGCGGACATGAGCGCGCTAGGGGGGCTAACTGCGTGGGGGGAGAAGGCTGCCAGACATTGCTTCGTCTGCTGGGGAGTGAGTGGAGGCGGAGCGGGCTGCTTGCTGCGCATGATTAGGGCTGTGTGTGTGGTGGGAGGGAGATGAGCGAGGAGATGCTCAAAGCTCTGAGGATATCTACTCTCGATACCACTTGTTAGTCGCTGAATTCTCACTCTTGTTAGTCGCTGAATTCTCACTCTTGGTAGTAGGAGAATTCTTACTCTCATCGAGAGAGGATGACACTAGGAGTTGGGGCAATTTTCTTGTCTATTTCTCACACAAACTCACACAAATGCCATGCCAACCTGAGGGGTTGGGGTTACATATTTATAGGCTGCTAGCCAGCCAAGCATATGCCAAGATGCTAGTCTAAGATGCTAATATGCTGTCCTAACTAAGAAGCTTCCTCTAGTCTAAGATGCTGTCCTCTAAGATGCTGTCCTGCTGTCCTCTAGTCTAAGGTGCTGTCCTAAAAGCAGAAAAACAGCCACAAGGACCATGTGAGCAGTACAGCCCCACAAAGACCACACATGAGACTTATCCATCAATGTCAGGGACCAAGCAATAGGATTAGCCTTGTTAAATAATATGAAAAACACTCTTCTATGTTCAATAAATGATGAATACCTGAATAATAAAAATAGGCAGAGTATGTAGGCTTGTAAACAATATCAGACATCGCATAGCCTGCTTATAGAACTACTAGTAAAATTGAAATTCGACGACAAGTTTTTAGAACAGTGGTAGACTCCACAATTGCAGCATCCAGATAAGTGATGAGAAACACAGAACAGCATGTTTAGCATAGGAGAAATGAGATAGTACCTTGATCGGGTTCTGTGAGTAGTACTTGCAGCTCTGGCACTGCAGCTTCAGCACAATCTTGGTGGTGTTGACCTGAAAATCACAACATTTGCCATATCCTAAACTGCGCACTCAACAGGCATTGCATTTATAAAAATAGGTTTGTATTATGTTGGAAATAAATAAAGCAGTGTTTACAATGCTAGCAGCGGCAGTGGTTGCTAGACCTCACTCACTCAATGGACTATATGGACAAAGAAACAATTACACAAAGACAAGTAAGTTCTGACTGAAACTATGAGGAATTGCCTGCCAACCAATTCTATTGAGGTCTGACAAACTCAAAATCAACCCCAGTAAAGAAACAAGAAATGCAGCTATCATGCTACAAGAAAATGCCTTAGAAACAATTATTACCTTCAACTACAGCAAATTAGTGTGCTATAGTAAATGCTTTGAAAATTTTCCATGTATCTTCTATAGATCTTGTGTAATGTTTAATTAATTTGGAACTGTATACATATTTTGACATAGAATGGGCACGAGCTAATAGTACACTATGCTAACATAGCATCATGAAGAGGATGAATGCAAGATTACCACCTCTGGCTCGAGTAGGGATGTTTCCCAAAGCATTCCAATCATCCTTCTCATTCCACCAAGGACCTGCAGGAACATTATTCAGGAATTTCACATGATAAGTTAATATATGCTCTAGAAGACTAGAAACGCTACAGAACTATCCACGGACAATTGATAGCATAGCAGTATATCATACCATATCCACAGTTATGTTTCCAAGCTGGACCTTTCCATGCTCTGAGTTAAGCTTCTTCAAGCGATCCTGTAACAACACAGACTAACATCTGAGAACAGCAAGGCCAGATGAACAGGTGTTCATATGTCACGAAGACAAGTGGTCAGATAAACCAGGTGTGAAGTTGATGATGAGGTACCTCATCATTCCTATGCCAAAAGCATTAATAGGAATGATGAGGTACACATCAAACATGACTCACAAGCTCTGGAGATTAGGACAAGAAAATGACATGTCTGTAAACATCCGAGCATTGACATTTAAGAGAGCATGTGAGATCTAAATTGCAACTAAACTAGTACAGTGAGCTGGTTCATATCTTACTCTACACATATCTGCCTGCGATGTCCAATTTAGATTCCTAGCAAGCAATCCATCATATATCTCATACTGTAAGAAACCAAACGAGTAAAATGTTTTGATGCATGTGTAGAAATTGAACTGAAAGTGCTAAGGGAAGAAGTAACAAAAGAAAGAGTTGTGTCCATTGTTTCAGTAATCATAATGTATCCTAATGTTTCTATTATATACAAGCTCAATTTTTTCTTATTGTATCCCATTCAGCAGGCCAATACAGGAAGATTACTTTTCACATTCAGTTACTACTTATTTGTTCAGACTCTAACCCTACAAGCCAACAACTGAACAAATAATTCTCAGTTTTACAATTCTGCTCCAAATATCCAAAAGTCTACTTTTAAACTCTAACCCTACAAACTGAGCAGACAATTGGGGCAAGCACTTCAGCAGCAGCAGGGTGCAGAATAGAACATTTAAATTGGTACATTACGAGTTATTTTGAGTTGTCTAGAAATGAAGCAAAGCATTGATGCTAATTTCAGCAAAAACAAGTGCAAATTACAACTCGCTCTCATCACTCATCAACGTACGTTGCATAAAAACAATGCCTTCATCCTTCTACAACAAAGCTGCAAAAAAGCAGCCTTTTCAGTCTGGTCAGTCTATGGTGCAAAGCAAGGGAAATTAAAAATAGTGCAGTTCAGGGCACTAGCACACCACCAATTAATCCTAACAAGATCAAAAATCATACAGGTTTCAGAATATTATAAGGGCACAAGCAGCATAGCACAATTAAACCATACAGGTTTAGAACATTCAGGCATTAGCAACATACCTAGCACACACCAATTAGGCCGAACACGATCAGAAATCTGAAGAGGCATTAGCAGCAGTCTATCATAACCTAAATGACTAATATGTGACGGCCAACTTGAAACAAATGCACTAGTCCACTTGCACCTCTAAAAATCTATTATTCAGTTTACATCAAGATGCACCACCCACAGGTAAGGAAACCTAATGCAAATCGGACTACTAGTCCATTAATGCTAGCTCTCCTCTTTGCTTCACGGCTCATTCTACTTCAGTTGACTGATTGGACAATCATCAGAACATTCTATCGATGAGCAGTGGTGGGTTGCTTTACCTCGAAGTGAATGGAGATATCATCCGTGATGGAGCAGGGAGGGGGCCACTCGTTGTAGGATTTGATGTAGTCACCCGACATCTGCTGCTACGCCTTGCTGGCGTCCTTCCCCGTCCAGCTGCTGTGCGAGCTGAGATCTGAGGACGGTGGTGGTGGTGGCGCCCAGATCTGAGGCCTGAGGGAGGGTGGTCGCACGATGTAGCCGGCCAGGGACGGCACAGACGCCGCTCCCCAACCTACCGCGCTGCCGCAGCCTCGTTGCCCATCTCCCTCCCTCTAGACCTCACCTCTCGGGCCGTCTCTCAATCGCGCGCCAGACACGCTTCGCACTTCGCCTCACCGCCGCACTCTCCTCGCCCACAGCCGCCACGCCCACCAGAAACGCCGCCGCCTCCCCGCTCTCCCTCCACGTCGCGCTCAGCCTGCTCGTCGCCGGCACGGGCGGCGCCAGCGAGACCAGCTCGCCGCCGCACTCGGCGGAGGCGATGGGCCGGCTGCGGCCCAAAGCCTGCACGTGCTCACGGAGCAGGTTCCGCAACTCATCCTCGCCGCCGTGTATGAAGTCGTCTTGGTTGGGGCAGGGGGAGAGGTGGTGGCGGCGGAGGATGGAAAGGGGATCGAGGGGATGACGGGGGAGGCGAGAGAGAGAGAGAGAGGGGACGGGACGGGGGAGGGGAGGCTGAGGGGGTTCCGGACTTGAGTCCGGACTTAACTATTTTTCATCTTTTTTTCGGGTCCGAGGTGTTATAGTATAGACGTGTTTTCTTGAAACGCGTCGCTGAGAAGGAGCCCCCGATATCAGTGACACGTCTAGTTGGGAAGAATCACTGATAGGCTGTCAATAGTGACGCGTTTTTGTTTCTTGGCCATAGGTGAGCGATGCGTACCATTTATCCACGTCACTGATGTTATATTAGTGACGCGTTTCAACTCTAGGTCACTGATTAAGGTGTCTTCTTTGTGCTGTTTTGACATAGTGTTGGTAAGATGGCTCTAGATTGCAAAACTCTATGTGGGGTTGGTAAGTTAAAGCACACTCGAAAAGCCTAAGGTGTCTATTCTGTTAAGTTTATGGTTTTTCTAGTGTAGATCAAACTGAATCTAGGTTTAAATGACTCAATTCATATATATCTTCTCTTGGGCTCACGTGCTCCCTATAACAGGGAGCCCTTGAGAAACAATGGAGATCGAGTATGCTGAGGCCCATTGGCAATTCTTACAAGTTTTTCAGCTCAAACTCTGGTAAGATATAATGGAGAAACAGCACACTTAGATATAGAGAAATCAAATGCAAAGTCTATCAGGAATAACTAATTGAAGAACTTCGTTGATGTGCATGTAGGCGTTTGGGCCATATGATTCAAAATTTCTAATGTCCATGGATTAGGAAGTTAGACACATCAATCTTTTTTTAATATGCAAGAGAGAGCTGTATAAACAGTTTGTTACAGAACATTATGTCACGTTCGCGAGAAAAAAAAAACATGTCATGCCGAAACATGTGCAAAACTCGAGGTAGTTCTGGTTGTTTACACCAAGTCAGGCCGTTTCAGTTCATGTTGTCTCCAGTATTTCCACCATTGTCACCGCACCGAAATTTTCTTTTCGGCAATGTTGGTCACGATCCAATATCTTACAAGTAGAGAAGGTGTAAAACAAGTGTGAAATAAATAGTAGACCCTGAATGGACAATATATATGCGAGACGTCGTTGTATTTCCAGTTTGATCTTGAGAAGCCAAATGTAGTGCGAACGAGCGAAAATGCCCGGACACATTTTTATTGATTGACCAATATTGCAAAAGGAGTTGATGAACACATCACAATACAATACCCAGAAAAAGATATACTGCTTATATATGCAGCGAAAGGAAGGCACGAGACACCGTATAGGCAGGCAGGCAGGCTTCACGTTATTTTAGCCCACAGGACGTATACGACGATACGACGAACTCGGCAACCACATCACGGTATGAAGCCTGACGACGAAGAAGCCGCCGGTGTCGGCGGCGAGGAAAGTACACGCCGCGGCGCATGCCGCATGCACCACCACGCCGGACGGCCGATCACTCGAAGGAGCCGGGGTGCTCCCTCTGCATCTTGATGACCTGCCTCCACGAGTCGCGGGTGGAGATCTTGTCGTACCACCTGGCGACGTGCTTCCTGGCGGTGAAGAGCTTCCTGCCCCTGTCGGAGGAGTTGACGATGTAGTGGGAGTTGGGGAGGTAGGAGAGGTCGGCGAGGGTGAAGTCGTCGCCGGCGAGGTACTCGTTCTTGGAGAGGATGTCGTCGTAGACGGCCAGCATGTTGTGCAGCTTCTTCTCTTTCTCCGCGACACGGGCCTCGTCGGGCCGCACGTCCTTGAGGTGCGGCGCGAACGCCAGGTGGAACACCAGTTCCGAGCTCGGCGCGTCGAAGCTCTGCGCCTCCGCCTGCAGCCACTGCTCGATGGACGCCCGCTCCAGCGACCCCGTCCCGTACAGCTTCTTGTACCCGTCGTCCGGGAACTGCGTGCACAGGTACCGGCAAATCGCCCTGGAATCTGCCATATATGCATACGTGTCAGAATCTGAATGCCGCCATGCATTTCATTTCTTAGTTGTTCTGAGTTCTTACCAACGATTGTTTTATCACCGTGCTTGAAAGTAACCTGTCCAGTAGGATCCTGCAGAGCCATATCACCCACAGCAGCAGCTTAGGTTTTAATTTCTACCATCTAGCCATCTCCAACTCCAAGAATTGAGTGAGAGAAACAACTGAATGCGACAGGCCAAGACTGATGATGACAATGACATACCCTGAGCTTGATGAACTCGGGGAGCTTGTGCGACTTCTTGAAGGTGTCGGTGCGGACGAGCTCGAACTCGAGGTTCTTCTCGAAGAGGCAGGTCAGCACCCTCGCGACGTCGGTGGACGCCGGCTGTCCGAACACCTGTAGCCCTGCCGCCATTGCTGCTGATCGATGTGTTGGATTGGATGACCTGCACTGCAGCGATCGAGAGCAATGTGCTGGATGACCGACCTGCTGCAGATGTGAGGTGAGTCAGACACTGATGAGATGCCTGGATGAAGATGACGCCGACTCATCGGCGTCTATTTATGCAGGTGGATAATATGCTTGCCTTGCCGCCGAGGATTACAGCACGGCAGCGAAAAGAGAAAGCTCCCCCGATCCGCCTCAAAGGTAAAGAGCGTCAGGATTCTTGCTTGGATCGAGCAACCATGCATGCTTGCACGCACGCTGTCTCCGTCTCCAGGAAGCAAATTAAATTAAAAAGATCGCGCAGAAACGATAGATCACACAAGCTCGCCCATGCGGCGTTCATGATGCATGCGATCCTTTTGCAGCAATGGGGTGAGCAACACGAAAGATCCATCCATGGAGGTGTCGGAGGAATTGAATACTGCAAAGAAAGGATCGCCTACGTTGGATTTCGTACGGAATTGGCGCCAAAGATGGAGCATGTGGCCTATGTCGGGGTACAAGAATATAACTCGCTATGTAATGTTGGGCTTTATTTCATCAAACCTAAAGCTAGGTTCTGGATGCAATTTTCAGTGAGACACGGGACTAGGAATTCGATCGATCTGGTTTCGCCGGCCTGGCTAGAAACATTTTTTTTCTTCAGCTGTACGTCCAAGTGCCTTTGCGTGTTAACAGGTAAAACAATATATCGGCAGCACAAAGATAAAGATGGTAGATCTGATCGAGTTGCAGTAACGATATGTCCCAGAAAATTGATCCCCCTATGCTGTTTTCATGTCATGGTAGATCTGATCGAGTTGCAGTAACGATATGTCCCAGAAACTTGATCCCCCTATGCTGTTTTCATGTCAGTGCTCGATCGTTACTCCCTCCATCCTAAAATATAAGTAATCCAAATCTGTTCTAAGTCAAACTATATTAAGTTTGACCAAATTTAAAGAGAAAAATATTAACATCTATTGCATCAAAGAGGTATATTAGAAACATACATTTCATAATGTATCCAACTAAGCTAATTTGAAGCTCTATGTATTTTTATTTTTTTATATAAACTTGGTCTAAGTTACTACAGTTTTTTTTTTGGTTAACTTAAGACAAATTAGATCCTTATATTTCACGATAGAGGGAGTACGTGTGAGAATTCTGAGGATGCATGGCAACCAATTGCTTTCTTATTCGGTGCATTTCATTGTCCATTTTGGAAACTCGTCCGCTGTACAAGTGCATATATTGTTTTTTTCCAAATTCGCTAAAGAAAGGGGGGATCCAACCTAGGAGGAACTAGGTGGTTTGGTTTTTCATTAATCATTAAGAAGAGAAATAGATACCCAAATTCAGTCCAAGAGAGGACTTGAATCTGGGTGGTTGGGTGTATGACCACACCTCCCACCCAACCAATTAAGCTAGGCTCACTTCCTCCAAAATCAGTCCAAATTCTCGTTGATGTTGACAATGGCGACATTTTTGGTAATGTATCTCACATTCTCACTAATGCATTGTGGTGAGGACTTCCTCTTCCCTAACCCGGGGGCTTCACTAAAACCCTAGTGTTGGGTTCTAGGCCAGCGTTGGTAGCACATGTGGATATACAGAGACATCACTGTGGGGAATCCCCTCCTCCTGGTAGATGTTGTTGTGGTGTGCAGAGTTGCTCTTGGCGACGAATGTTGTGGTGGGCTTCAGCTACGTTTTCTTTGTTATGATGGTTGTCATGTAGGTGGGTGGTGGTATGTTGTCATTCCTGTTTTTCTGCATTTCACCTTCTTTATTAGTTTGCGTTTGGCAGCGGGAATGTAGTTTTTGCTATCATTTTGGGACACAAATAAAGCTTTTGCTATTATTTCGGGGAAAAAAATTAAGACATGCCAGAACATCCGGTTCCTAGAATTTTGAGGATGTAAGCCAATTTATTCTTCTTTGTGCATAGGAATGCCAAGTTAAGCCTTTTGTCGATGCAGAAAGTGACCAACACGTAAATATTTGTAGTTTTGCCGTACGTTGTGATCGGAGGTGGCCTAACACTCAATGACACAGGGTTTATACTGGTTCAGGCAACGTGCCCTACGTCCAGTTTAAGTCGGTCATTGACTTTATTT